TGCTTGTAGGGCAGTACTGTGAGGTTCTGTTTTGAATAAGATGTCAAACCACAGCCCTGACCACTATGGACCACTAATGGACCACTTGGGCTTGTGTGTGGGTGTGTGTGTTAAAAAAGAAAAGATCTCAACTTGACCTCCACATTTTGCTAGTGAAGTGATCCATGCAGCTACGCCCATGATTGATTTGTGGGTGCATAATGTAGCATTTACAAACAAAACCACCTGATTTACATCTATGTTCAGATGTACAATAATGAACTATTATGCACAAAACCAGGCAGTTTTAAAATCACGATCTAGATCAGGTGCATCAGACATCTGGCTTGTGGGCTGGATCTGGCCCCCAGAGGTGGGTCATTTGGATTCAGGGCTTTCTGTGGGCTAGGCCACCCACATTCATGGGCTCAATTCAGCCTATGGGGCTTACTGCCATGGCTGCTGGAGCCCCTGTGGTGATGGTATGAATCCCTGCTCTTTTGGTGTGACTATGGAGCCCAAGGAGTTATCACCACTTGCCTGTCTCTTCCACTTCACCGCTCCTTAAGTGCTTCTGAAACTGGGGTTTTTAGTTGCCCCTGGCAACTAAGATCAGTGGCAAGGAAAAAGGAGGTGTGAATGGCAGTGGCATTAACTCCCTGGGTTCTGGAGCAGTGAGTATTAATGCCACTGCCACCAGCCATGGTCCTGTGATCTGGCCCATGAGAAGCCCAGCAGCTTGGATCTAGATGTACCATGGCTGTTTTTGTAAGAGTATGTCAGCTGTCATTGTCTTTGCCAAATTCCAGTTCTCGTAGCTGCATTCAGCTTATTTCCCCTCTAGTTAAAATGGTAAACCGTATTCTGTATCTTTTCCTGCCCTAAAGCACAGCTGCAGTGTTCAACTGCACTTTAGTGATGGCAAAAAAGATTTCTCTATGTGTGCACGTATGTGTGGTATATGAACACGACTGGATGTATGTGCACATATGGATGGCAAGCGATCTTTCAGCACATTGGCTGAAAAGAGCTCAATAAATATAATATTCTTTATTTGTATTTTCATAGGATTGTTAGAAGTAAATAGAATGCATATAGAGGTTATTTAGCACAGGGTTTGCTAAGTAGTTTGGTAGTGTTAAGAGATTATTCTAATTTTTATGACTGTCCCTAAAATTTGTTAGCCGTGTTTGCAAAAACAAAAGAGGTCCTGAGTGAAGATGTGTCACACAGTTGTACAGTTTAAGCATGTTCTAAAATTCCAAGGAAGGGGATTGCATTTTGAATTATGTTTTTATTTTCCTGATCCTCAGCTGCAAGAGGCCTTTGGATGGGAGGCCTTCATCGAAATCTTTTTTAAATATCAAGAAATGCCTTATATCCCAAGAGACAAGGCCTTGAAGATGAATCTATGGGTAGAAATGTTCTCTCAGCAGGTGAAGAAGAATTTGGCTCCTTTCTTTAAGGCATGGGGCTGGCCTATCGAGGAAAATCTTTCCCAGCAACTGGCCGATTCATTCCCAATATGGTCAGAGAATCCAATGGAACGATACGTCTCTCAGTGAGTGATTGGTTAGGACGGACAGGGCAAAACTATGGAATTGATGAAAACTGTCATTCCACTTTATGATTGATCCAATATTCTGCAGCTGTTTTAGCTGTCAATCGAAATAACATAAGGCTAAATCAATGTGAATGATATATAGACCCTCTGTTCAGCTTTTTTTCTTGCTTACTCTTTGCACATTAGACCCGGATCAGTTCCTTTCTTACTGGGTCTCTCTTTAGCCACAGTGGGAAAGAAATTTCTGTCTTTATGATTTAAAAAACAACATAATATGACAGCTTCTCTTCTTCTGTTGTCTTGTTTCTAAAGAACTCTCAGCTTGGTAGTTATTTGGTGATTGCAGATATATAAAACTTAATGAAAATTAGCAGAAATATAGGAAATAACAATTGCAAGAAAAATATAGTGTAGGAAATAAAAATAGGAATCAATATACAGTAGTATTAGGGGTGAAAATATGGCTATAGTAGTGCAAAGAATTAAGACTCATAATTCAAAGATGAAACTCAGATTTTTCTTGGTAGGGAGGACAAACAAAACATTCTTGCTTTACTTCATATTCTGAATCAGGGTTCTCTTTTGTTCTGCTTTTAGTAATGATAGCTTGTGCAATGGAAATCTGTGACTTTAGCATCTGTCAGGGGCTTGGCAGTATCCTGGCAGTCAAATTACACTTTGAAACAAAGGGCCAGATCTGAACAGCTCTGTTGGGTTCAACAGAGCTATAACAGGTGACTCCATGTTTGCTTCACATATGCATGTGGTTGAATGTGTGTGAATTTCCAAATCTGAGTTAGGACATTGCAATCTCTGAGTTTCACAGGCTGAGTTACTCGCTGTGTAGCTGTAGAGAAGCCACTTATATCCACATTTACAGAAAAGGGCAGTGATTTCTGGGTGCCTAGCTTCAGGCTAACATCTCAAATTTGTTCCAATGATCCACATCAAGGGCCAGTTTTCAAAATGCTGTACCTCAATTTCCTGCATGGTAAAACAGGGATAAGAGCAATATCCCATCTTTGTGAAGTGTTTTGAGATCCTTGGAGCACAAGTGCGTGTTTTCCTGATGCACAGAATTGCTGATATTGTTATTCCAAACTGAGAATGCTGGTCTGCATGGTAGGAAAAAACAGAGATGGAAAATGATCAGATCTCCTCTCTCTGAAAGCATTTCCCATTGCTCCCCCTACCCCGTCCCAATGAAATGTGACTGGGGGGATTCTTCAGAAATTTATTTTTCTCCCCCATCAAACTCTTTCTTAACACTATGCACATCCAGCTAAGAACCCAGTCTACAGATCAATGTGTACAGCCATATCAGGAATGAATGCAAAACCTGTGATGAATTTACATTTACAGTTGATGGTGTATTTCATTCAGCATCACTTTAAATCATTTTGTGGTTCTCTTAATCTTTGGGAAAAATTATTTTCTATGTCTGGAACCACACATTCAAACAGTGCTGTTTTCCTAGAGCCTTGGGGGGCAATGTAGCCTTTCCTCAGCTTTTATTTCCTTTTGAAGACTATAGGACTTTTGACCAACAAGAGGCTGAGGACAACAAGGTACAGCCCCATGAGTTAGAGATGGTGCAACGCCCTCTGTTTAGACCATTTAGTCTAGTCCATCTTTCTGTCAATTCAGGATTAATCCCAAAAGCCTGTCCTTGAGTGTTTTCCCCAAAATGGTTTTAAAAGTCTCAAGGAAGAGAATTTCCTCTACTGCTTTGAGAAGGTAATCACTTTTTCAGAAGGACATGCATCTGAAGTTGGTACCTGCAGCTATGCATTCTGTCTTCATAGTATATTGTGGTGATGCTAATAAAGAAATCCGTGATTTATGCCAATGAATATATGTCTGTACATTGTGTGATAATGTCCTGTTTGGCAGAGTTTCCTTCATTGTCAGAAAAAAATGTCCATTATGGTGTAACAAAGGAGCACTGGGGTATGATGCAGTGGGAAGGGGACCAGATATCTTATGGTGCATCGCCTGATCAGGAGAAGGTTTCTTTTCAGTTAAATGCTTTCTCTCTTGTACGCACACCACCCCTACTCCACAGAAATCTGAACTTTCTTACCAAGAACTCCTCTGATACACAGGGCAACCAGTCACTACTCTTTTATATCAAGTGTCCTTTAAGCAAATTTTGAGCTGAGGACCAGATTGTGCCTTTATGCAAAGCCCTGACAATGGGATGAATGTATAAGTAGCACCACTGTAGGAGGAGCATCTCTGAAGCCCACTTCCCTCCCTGCTTCCCTTTGCTCTGGGGGAACCGTATTTTGCGGTTGGCCCCCATCAGCAGCCACTTTGAACACCCCTTGCATCAATGTTGAATTCAGGTCTCCCATATTTTGCATGACTGCTCTTACCTCCAGGCTATTATGTAAGAAGGGGCACACTGCCTACAAACAAACAATGATGCTTTCAATGTCTGAGCCCTACTTAGTTAGTTTAAATAAAGGGTTTAGGCATCTACCTTCATGAATGGGGTCTGGGCTGTGGATGTGAGGGTCAGAGTGTTTAACACACCAGGTGTGTGTTAAAAACTGCTCAGCATGCTGGCTGTTGAGGATCCATATAGAGATGCCAGGCACTCACGCTGGTTCTGGATTCCACCCCAGAAAGCAGGCACCTGAATGTCCAGCACTGTAGCATCCTCACCTTTGGGTGCCTCTGATGAAGAGGCTGATGTGGTTGACTTCTACACTGCAGTTCTTGTTGGGAACAATGTGGAGGGGCTCTGTATGACCTGTAAATAATTCCTGTACATAGTTTCATAAGCAGAACACCTATATGCCCTTCTCATCCTAGAGGGAGGTGGCAGTCTGGGCCTGACCTCAGGTCACAAAGACTGTTTCCTAACTGATAACCCCATGTCTTTGCTTCATAGTATTGTGTGAGTGTTATCCCCAGGTGAACAGAGTACTAGTGTTTTGTAACTGTTTTATTGCAAGCGTGGCTGACTGAGCCTGAGGAGAAAAGGTGAGCCTCAAAGAGCTAGAGGCTTGAGAGGAAAAGTCCCATGGGGGGACAGATTAGAGGGAAAACAGGGAGGACAGAGAGCTGGAGAAAGGGTAATCCCAGGGAGGATAGAGAGAGAAAGTCTAAGTGAGGAAAGAGATAAAATCCCAGGGAGGACAAGGTAGAATCCATGGAAGGACAG